AGCAGCTTGCTCCTTTGCTTGCTGCTTCAAGGCCTCTACCTCAGCGTCTTGTATCTTTTGATAAGCGCAAAGTTGATCCTCGAAATTCAGCCGCTGCTAACGATGAAACTGACGCGCAATTTTCTTTGCGTCTCCCTCGAGAGTTTCCTGAGCAAGGCGTAAGCTATCTTCTGAACGCTCTTTCGCAACAGTAAGCGCGTAAGCTGCCGCTACCAGCTCATTAGCATAGGCTTCTAGCCTCTGCTTAAGAGTTTGCTCATCATCGCTAGAATCATCATCTAGCTCTTCTTGATCATAACTAGCTTGAAAGTCTCGACCTTGGACATCTTGATCTCGGACATCTTGATCTTGCTCATCTTGTTCCTGCTTATCTTCATCCTGCTTATCATCGTCCTGCTTATTATCTAGGAGTAGCGGAGTATTATCCTGAGCTATTAAATTAGTATATTATAATTAATGATAAAAGAGTAACTTACTAAGAGTTGCCTGCTGAGCAGTGGTATCCTCGCCATTATTGTTTTCTACAGTCGGATTCTGAGTAGCGTCTGGCATATCCTCGTCAGAATCGTCTTCAACGATTCGTCGAGGCTGCTTAGTTGGGAGAGGCTTGCATTTTGGCGTAGCCTTTGCTTTCAGCGCCTTGGTAGCCTTGTTCTTCTTTGGCTCTGTGTAGATGAAATTGGGATTGACAGGACCAGAATTGTAAGGGCAGACTACGAAATCGTCAGGCCAAACACCCCACTCCTTGAGAAGCGAGCGAAGACACTCTATATCTTTGCCTTGGAGTGTAACGCGCTTAGCGTAGATGGCCAAAAGGTTGGCCGCTAGAGGAGGTAAGTAAGTAAGTAAGTAATCAGAAAGAATAAGAAATAGGAAGACTTACAGGTAAAGATTCTTACTAAGAGAGACTCAGCATATTCTTGAAGAACGCCAAGAGCGCTTGCTTGAATGCGAAGAGGTGTATAAGCCTGATCCATAACGAGCTCCTTGATAAGTCTGGCAAATAGGGTTTTCTTAATGTAGAGCAGGCTCTCCTTCTAGCACTTCCTGATCTCTTTGAGAGCCAATGCTTTGAGAAAGTTAGTGCCGACCACAAATGCCGACCACAAATGCCGACCACAAATCTGGATTCTGGAATTACTTACTACCTAGGGCATATCTGTGTCCCTTCTTGATACGAGTGCCTAGAAGCTTTTTACTACCTGTGCGCGAAGGAAGTCCCTTTCCACCAGTGCGAGGAGTCTTGCGTACGATCGATTGTTTGCGCTTCTGCGCAATCGACATTGCCGAGGCTATTGTAGTGGATTGGTGCGCTAGTGTGGTGTGGTAGCGGTAGTGTGGTATAGTGTGGTAGTGTGGTGTAGTATAGCGGAGGTGGTATAGTGTAGTGTAGTGTAGTAGAGGTAGTGAGGAGAGAGAGAAAGGAAGGGGGCAATGTTGATATAGTAAGTTAGGTTTTTTCTGAAGTGGAGAGTAACTTTGTATTGTTGGGAGACAACCGCTCGGCCAATCAGAGGCTACGGATTGTTTGCTGCCTGAGTAATAACACATACGCACTTCACACGAGATCCAAATAAGGTTTGCGTACGTAATCTTTAATTGCCGGGAGTAACCGGTAGGCACGGTCAGCAGGTACGGTCGGCAGGTACGGTCGGCAGGTACGGTCGGCAGGTACGGTCGGCAGGTACGGTCGGCAGGTACGGTTAGCAGGTACGGTCGGCAGGTACGGTCGGTATAGGTAGTAAATATCATCGGAAAGTCTTCTCGGTAGGAGTCCTAATCCTTCCCCTAAGACATAGTTAGCAGACATGGTCGGCAGATATGGTCGGCAGATATGGTCGGCAGATTCCCAAAAGCTTAAAAGTCATCTTTTCCGTTATTTTCCCCTAGGAAGCGCTTCCGAATCCATCGACAAAGTACTATATCCTTTTGCTGCAACGTCACTCGTTTCGCATATATTGCAAGCATATTAGAGACTTCGAACTCAAGTGTAAGAAACGCTTCCGTCGCTTCCTGTAGACAGAGGAGGGCCTCTGCTTGGAACCGGTATACGCTACTCGAAGATTTACTTGCGATATCTATAGTAACTTCCCGACAGATCCTCTGGAATGGTAGTCGACGTATTAACAGCTCGGTCGTCTTCTGGTATCTCCTAATCTCGCGAAGAGCAGCTACACTAGGCTTTGTTCGTCGCTTAGTTCTCGCTTTAGGTGCCTTTCGTATTATAGGCTTCTTCTGCGGCCGTTAACTCCCTATCGGCCTCTTATTCCCTGGATAGGACTTTTTCGCGACTAGTTTCGTACGTCCCCGCCTCCTTTCGGCGAGGCTTTTACTTAGTCTAGGAGAGGCTGTCGGTTGAGGTAGTTGTCGTATACGCCGCCTAATCGGTATATCCGAATCTTCGCTAGTCTCCGGACTATAGATTACTAGACCTGTACCTTGATTTGCTTGCCTTTCTTCCTTCTCTCCGCTATAATTAGGATTATAGATTACTCCCGCAGTACCTTGAGTTGCCTGCTTGTCCTCCTTCTCTCCGCTATAATTAGGATCGTAGATTACTTTTGCGGTACCCTGAGTTCCCTGCTTTTCTTTCCCCTTTCCGAGATAGGATATCTTTTCGAGCGGCTCCATTCGTTCCTCCTGTGTCCTATCTAACCACTTCTGAGTCCTTATATCAGTTCCGCTATCAAAAGCAGCCTTCGGAAGCCCTCTAGGTCTCGATTGTTCGTCCTGTGGTAAATCGAGTCCATAGTCGA